ACTATAATTAGGGTAGGACAATGATGGAGTATTAATGAATAATTAATTTATTGATTAATTATGTATCATTGAGAATTTTTTCACTTCATAATGTAATAAATGAGTAATAAAGAGACATAGGTGGGACGGATTTACATTTATTAATATAACATGAAGCATGTACTATGAGTGCGTTTTCCTCACTTTTGCCTTATAACAACAAGGTTCTTAGGATGATTTATCAACTATAAATAAGATTGATCAGATTTAATCAAATATAAAAATGTGTTATTATGTTGATTAGGTTCAATCAACATAACCCTAATTTAATAAGTTTAGGTGATGAAAAAATGCACGATCCACATACACATGAATGTTTCTTCCTTTGATTTAGTTCGTTGTATGACTTGTATCGTTTTCTTTTCGATGATGTCAAATAAACTATTTGCTTGAAATTTAATTACAATTGCAATAAATGAGATATGCATGCTTGCCCTACATTATCTTACATCAATAATTTATCTTAAATTCACTCTGCATGTACAAAGTTAAGTTGTGCTCCAATTTAACTTGAAGTTTAATCTCATTTACATCATTGGTTAACTTATACATCCTAATAGCTTAATTTTTTTTTCTTTTTTTTTTTTTTGAAAGCTTGTAATAGCTTAATTAGTTATCAATCTATCATACCCTCACAGTTGGCTTTTATTTTATTTTATTTTATTTTATTTTTTAGTTTTTTAATTCTCAACAAACCCCACTTACACAATATTTTACGTCATTCAATTCAATTTCCTAAAAACTATGACATGCAGGTCAAACTAATACACTTGAAAAAACGAAGAGATTAGCTAATTAAATTCACTTATATTATACGCTTCGTATGTATTTCGTAGGTATTCATCCTACTCCTTTATCTTACACAATATATTCTGTTATGTGATAGATCCATTTACTATACCTAAATATAATCCAATACATACGATAGTAGTCTACGTATGACTTGAGATATTATATCAATTTGCTTTGTCATCATCAGAATTATACGAATAATTACTCCATAATTCAACGTATGTATTACACATTTTTACGCAATACAAGTCTCTTTATACACCAAAAGACATCATTAATTACGTGGAACACCCTCAAAAATAAGTAACAATATTAATTTTATTCGTTATGAATGTGTAAGAACCTTTTACATTGCCAAACTCATGCATAAAGTCATAAAAAATTTGAGGATGTACCTCTCCAATACATTAATTAAACGACTAAGGTACATGACTATTGTCGTCCGATCATGACATACACATTAATAAAATTTCAATTTGCTACCCTAGATTTGTTTAGGACTTCTCATAAAACTTTATTGGTGAAGGTACATATTTAGAATAATGGAGAACTTACCAAGTGGGGTGTTATTTTTTTTTTTATTATTTTTTTTCAAAATATGTCCCATGTTAGTTTATGTGGCAATGGAGTAATTAACTGTATCATTACCTAACATGCATGTATGATTGGAAAAAGGTATCCCTAGTTTTCTTATAGCAATTATACAGACAAAGTATATATATACTATATATTTGAAGTGAACTTATCGATCAATTTGTATTTACACTTGATTAAACTCGATGACTCATATATATTATTTATAATTAGAAATAAACTTGTTATTATAAGGCAAATTAAGGAGATCGAACACACCCTTAATACTTAATAAGAATATGATTTTTTAGAATTAAGCAAGGGATATAGATCCGGATTTGAGATTTATAATACGTAACATACTATGCGCCGTGTCACATCAAATATAATACCTGTACTCGTACAAGAAGTAGCACACTGGACTTGAATTGAATTTTGTTTTCATGGTGGGGTGGGGGTGACAACTTGAAAATAATTGATTGCAACTAATGAACTTTACAACTATTTTACGCATGGAACTATGTCATATCCAACTCTTAATGAAAACAAAATTTTGACTTTGTCACGATATTTTCATTCAAAAAAACATGTAAGATTAAATTATTATCATGTGTTTTAATCTATATAAAGCGCAATACCATTAATTTATTATTTATATATATAATTCAATAATACTATCGCTATTCACTTGCAACTCTCTTTATACGCGGGTAGTTCATAAGCGTTTTAGTCAAGTGGTACCACAAAATATATCAACTGTTTAGAGTAGGTGTATAATCCATTAATCCGTGTACATTGTACATAAGAAGTGTTTACTACATTATAGGAAGTTGCCAAATAACTCAATTCTAAGTTGACCTGACCAGAAAGTCTTTTGGATAATTGCATTCCGTGGAGGTTATCTCATGTAATTACGGAGACATGTAATACTCCGTATGCGAGTTGGACTGTTAGTCGTGTCTACCAATAGACACGACTAAGTAATTGTGTTTGAGATCGATGTATAATATAATACATACTCCGTAGTATATATATTTTTACAAGGACAATGATTTATATAATGAATTTACGAAGGCCTTATTGAAGTGTATCCGAAGCTCCTTAATTCACATGTAAAAATAAATCAAGACTACGGGATGATATATTTTGCAACTACAATGATGATAGATGTATTTTGCGAGTTTTGTAAAGCAATGAAGACTAACCGTACCAGAAGTTAATTATGATGAATCTATAGATTGTGTGGATCGGAGTACCTTATGGGGTTTATTTTTTCACTCAGGCCGACAAAAGTAGGCATGAAAACACTTTAAATTATAGTTTGGTATGACAACGATAGATGCAACTTAAAAGATAGATTCTAGTAAAGAGAAACGGTGGTTCTATCATCTGATCTTATTGTCTCATACTCAGATTCACTTTGTTTTCTTAAGTTATAACTATTACTATATTCAATTCATATATTCAGTCTTTAGTTGAGTTGTAATACGAGTAGATGAGTTTCACATGCAATGAGGCATGCTCATACATTTGTCTTTGTCTTGGTGTGCTTTATTATTATTACTCGTATTATTAAGCAACATTATTATTTTTTTTCCGAATGAGTCACAAAGTACGTACAAAGGTACAACAGATCGATTTCAGCAACTTTGTAATTGCGATTTATAGGGGGCTACTTGGATCTGCGGGGCACGACTTTGCTTTATTCAAAAGGACAAAATAGCGTAGGGGTATAATTTAGACTAGTATTCCGTATTCTATAACAAGTTATTTTAGCATATGAGGTGGATTTTAGATTAGATAAAGTACGTGGTCAGGTGAGTAAAATGGAGAATTGGATGAGGGTTAAATTGAAATAGATGATGACTCTAGTGAGATAGTGTTCACTTGGTGGGACCGTGGGAGTGAGGACATAGATTAATTATGTATCTGTCATCAGTGATGGAGTAGGAATGAGGATTAAAGGATCAATATTTGCATCCGACTAACTAGATCTATATAAGTATATCATAATCAAAAAAAATTTACCTTGCAATTTGTCAAGGAAAATTCTAAAAATCTAACAAATTAAAATACACATTATTAATTTGAGTAATTGTGAGTGAAGTGAGTAAAGTGGAATGCCAAGAGAGAATTCAACTAAATTTTGGGCTATTTTTATCCTTGTAACGTTTGTTTATTACAAAAACCTGTTGGACCCCACATAGAAAACGAATCCATTATCACTTGTGTTTTGTGAACAACTGGGCCGTATAAGTTTGTTTTCAGTTACTATCCTTTTTTCCCTAAGCCCACCCATATGTTGTGGGCTTACTTGGGCCTATTCAAAATCTTAAGCCCAAGACCAGCAAGATCATGATTCTTGAAAAAAAAAAATTATGCAAATTTGCAGTGCTCTCCTCCAAGATCAAGATGCCATTATACTTGGTTGGAACTAAAAACAAGTATTGCAAAGTAATCTAGGCTTTAATCAGGTGAAAATAGACCCTACATAATCGTCTCAATTTTACTGCCCTAACCTCAAAGTGTCATTATGAGACGAACCAAATATGACCCACTTTTCAAGTTGCCAATCCCCAAATACAATTTTAAACAATGGGTTATCGTCTATGACCTCCATTGCATATTAGAAACTAACTTGATATTAACTTATTAAATATTCTGTCAAATTAAATATATAATTATAAAAATTATTATTAAGTGTATTTGCCATGCTCGTACATAATTCATAAATACATTAGTCAGTTCATGTCTGGCTCTTGTTCAACAAAAAACAGTTTTCAAGGGATCTTGATTATTGTTCAATTTATTCATACTGTATTACGAATGAAGAACTACTACTAGTAGGTAGGTGCCTGATTATATTACCAACCCGTCTAGTGCAAGATAAGATTTTATTGTAACTTTTGTGATAACAAAGCTTAGAATACTAAAAAAAAAGCTTAGAATACTCAAATTTGTATGTCTTACACAATAAGAGACGGTTTCCTAACATCCAAAGTCAGAAAATTATATGGGAGTAGACGTTCGACATACTTCTATTGAATTGAAACCTCTCACAGGTCAACCCGACCCAGTTAGTGTTCGAGGCTCCTTGTGAGTGACAGTGGGGTTGGGGGAAGGGGCAAGGGAATCCTCGTCCCTAAATTGTCTCTAGTGGGGACTAATTCCAAACTTCATAGTTGTGAATTAACAATTTTTAACACTAAAAAACCAAGTATTATTTGGTGAGAGTTTCCGAGCTTATTGGTTGATTAATTAAACACTCACAGTAATTTCAAGGTGATAATACATATACTTAGTATCTGCCATCTTTTAACGTTATTTTTACTCTACTATTCTACTAGTGTCATTACTGTCATAGACTCATAGTGGGTGCAGTGCATTATTTGACTCTTGTTTAATTATACTATGATTTTATTGGACTTCCTAATTACCAATTTCCAATCACTAATATATTAGAATAACGGTAGATGCTACAGTGCATCGTCCCACAATCTAAAATATTGATTTATCAGTCATATTTGAACTCTAATCTTATGAAAAATATTTATATAACTACGGAGTAAGTGATATATAGGACAGAATAATGAATTTTAAATTTTAATATATAGCTAAATCAAAGAAATGTTTACTTGTCTTACAAAATAAAGAGTAACATTTATACATTCAGGGATGATTTTCTTGCCTTTAGGCTTATACATCAACAAGCTAATTTAATCGATGATTATCAAAAGTAATTAATAATACAACAAAATTAAATTAACAAATTTAAGGATGATTTTCATGGTGATGACCAATTTTAGCAGCAGCAACATAATAACGCTTAATAAGCGCCAAAGCATTACTAGTCAACTGACTTAGCTTAACAACTTTACGTTGAACTATTAACTTAACATTTCCATTCATACCACTTCCATCAAAAGCATCCCTACATGTTCCAGCATATGTTAAGGCAGTGCTAGTCCATGTTTCGACGTCGCTCGCCTCCATCTCCGTCTCCGTCCAAGCCGGAGCCCCACCCATCTTCTCGATTGAGCGTTCAAGTTGAGCGGCGGAGGTTCCGACGGCCATGGTGCAGTCTGATAAGGCTGCCTTCTCCATGGGCTTAAGTGCTCCGGTCTTAGAAAGCCGGGCTGTGGTCTGTGCCGCGGACTTGGCCTCTATGAGTGCTATGACGAGGGCCTTGGTAGCGAGTCGTTTCGGGTTGTTTTGGATTTGTGAGGCGTGTGGGAGAAGGGTGGCGTAGCAAAGCATAGGGTATGTTGTGGTGGAGCAGCACTTTTTGATGAAGTTTGTACTGCTCGTGCTCGTGTTCGTACTCGTGCTTGGTTTGGTGGATGCTGATGAAGGGTTAAAGGATAGAAATATTAGGAAGAGGAAAATGAGTAGAGTAGTAACATTTTGGGGAAGTGAAGATTTCATGTTTGCTAACTTAACTAATAGAAGTAGCTAGGACTTATTGAGTTGAATTGCCAAGTATTTGATACTCTTATGCTTTCTATAACAAGTGATTGTTTAAGGAAGGGGTTTGTTTCCCTATTTATAGCCCATTTGCACGTTGCACTTCACATAAAGAAGTGATAGTCTGCTAGCTGGCTTAGCTGCCATTCCCTAAAATATTTTAGGGCATATCCAATGGGTAGGTACAACAATTTGTAGTTTGACTGGTAATAAACATTTCAGCTTATTATTAATATCTAGTTACATCATTCGTTTTTTTTGAATGGGAGTTTTTACAAATGACAATATTTTTGTTGATATGTTTATTTAATGAAATGTCCAAACGTTATTACGGAATGAAAAGAAAAGGAAAAATACACAGTATATAATCTTTTCAAGTGGTGATTAAGCTACAATAGAAGAGTAACATGTCAATCAATAACCAATATATAACTACACATTATTCTTTATTATATGTTAGCTAGATAAATTTAAGGACTATGTTTGAACAAAATCCAAAATAGCATCACATTTAAAACTTGTAAATGATTAAATTATCTTTGTATATTTTCCTACAAAAAATAAAATTATCTTTGTATATATTCAACCCTATATAAAATTTTAAAATGACAGGCAATCTCTCTACTGATTCGTGCTCTGAAATACAAGTAGCCAGCTAAATTTAAGGCAGGTTTGCTCAATGTAAGTAGGTGGACTAGGAACATATAATGAAGATTGAAGTATGTAGAGATTTAAGTAGTACTCCTAAGATAATAGGAGCAATATAATTTTGAAAAAATTAGAAATAATAATCCTAACTTTCATCAATTTTGGTAGAATAATCTCAACTTTGAATTATACTGGAATAATCTGAATTTTGGGGGTCTTCTTTTTCTACAATTCCAAATACCGGTTACCGGTTGAATGGATTTTATTTTTTTTTGTTAAAGTGACATGTGTCACAAATTAATTGGTTAAAAATATATATAAAAAAAAACCACCCAAAAAAAATAAAAAAACACCAGCAAATCACCCAACACTCCACCCCTGCTCACCAGAACCCCCAACCAGCCAAACCCCAACCACTAGCCACCAGCTACGGACGCCGGCCACCAGTCACCAGCCATGAAATCCGCCCAGCCACGAAACCCGGCCACCAGCCACGTAATCTTCTTTACCGCCAGCGACCACAACCGTCAACCTGCTCCAGCCACCACCAGCACTCGAAACTCCCTATAAACCACATCTCCAACTCTCGAAATCCCCCAATCAACTCGAAAACCCTTAAAACCACCTCCCTCACTCCCGAAAACCCCCAAAAACTCCTCCCTCACCATCGAAAACCCTAGCCGCTAGGGTTTCGGGGTGGAGGAGGAGTTTTTGGGGTTTTTCGGGAGTGGGAAAGGGATTTTTTGTGGTAGTTGCGCAGTGGGGGTTGGAGGGGATTTCCGGGAAGGAGGAAAACAGCGAGGAAAAGCGGCGGTCCGGCGTGGGAAGAACGGCGGTCGGCGTGGGAGAGGCGGCGGACTGGGCAGTGGTGGTGGAGGTTAGGGTGGGACGGTGGGGGAGGGGAGGTTAGCTGGGTTTTTCTTTTTTTTTTTTTTTTTTTAAATTTTTGGACCAATCAGGGCTTGACACGTGTCAAGTGACCTGATATATTAGGTTATTGACTTTTGTTGACCGATTAGGGATTGAAGAAAAAGAAGACCCCCCAAAATTCGAATTATTCCAGTATAATCCAAAGGTTGGATTATTCTACCAAAATTGATAAAAGTTGGGATTATTATTTCTAATTTTTCCTATTTTTTTTTTTCTTTTTATTTTTGACATTATTGCATATTTGCATGGGTGGTAAATAGATACTACATGATCTTAAGATTCGTTTGTTGGGTTGTTGTATTGGAAGAATGGGTTAAATCTCATAATTTATGGTTGTTGGGCCAATTTTATAGTCCATTGAAAATATTTTGCATGATTTTAACTTCTTTTTTATTTGATTTTGGAAGATTAATTACGTCGATAATTTATACGTTGAGTTAATAATTAATTACCAAGTTGTTTATCATGTTTATTGCATTGTTTTTTAATCAGACCAATCATACATAGTATTATTCATGTATAATCACAGGTTGGTAGTATAATTTTCAGATATCAAATATATGTATTTAATTAATATAAATATCACTATAGCACTACTTGAGTATATTATATTACTCTGTGATTTTTAATTTGTAAAATGATACTCAAGAGATTTTATTGTTAGAGGTTGGCTAGATTTTTGCCCCTAAAATAAGAAAGAGGTATTTAGACTATTTACAACAACCTCTAGGCAGAAGGCAGTACGTTAGTGCAGTATATAAGAAGTGAAATGTGAAAATATTTGTAAAAATATATTAAGTTAAACAATGAATGACTTACAGCAAACATTTAACCTGGTTAAAATCTTTTCACATACTAATATAGCTAGTACTGTATGTGTTTAGTTGAAAAGTAGTAAGAGTAGTGTTTATATATAATAATAAAGCCAAAAGATGTCATCTAATTTAAAAATGATGAACTTAAATATAATAGTATTATAACCCTTATACGGAGTACTTATTAAAATGCATGCATAAATTGCTACGAAGCTACCCATAAAATAATGGTTACGTATGGTTCTTGGGTGAGCAGAACCATTGATCATTGACTTGTAAACATTATTATGCTCAGGTTAGGATTCCAAAACATAGGATTATTAATCTGGAACCTTCTTCCTTCCTCAAAGACCCAGTGCAGTTGCTAGCTCACTTTGAATTTTTATTGATTTAACTCCTTAACTAAGTACAGTTGTTACGGAGTAAGTTATAAGCAAGATTCTTAAGTCCTAAACTCCTAATATGTTAATTTACTAATCACTAACTATTTACCATGTATTTTTCTTAACATGTTCATTAAAGGTTTTCTTACAAATTATGTGTGCATGCAATTACATAGTAAATTGCCTGTTATTTAATTGATATAGAGACACTAGTATAGGATTAGTATTCGAAATTGATTAATAGTAGATTACATTTGTGGATAAATTTGTGGATGATATACTCTTATTATAGTTTCATAAAATTGAATTTTTTTCACACTATAATTGTATAACACATTGTCTACGAACATACAGAGTAAATACAAAAACAAGGTACTAATGTTTGCCTAAAGTTGCAAACAAGGTACTCAAGTTTTAAAAGTTGCAACAAGGTACTCAAACCAAAATTCACCCACTAAAACAGGTTACCATTTGCCAAAAAAAAGGAAAATTAAATTGCTGACACAATAAATAGAAGGAACTAATGTTTGGTGATTTTCAACATATTGATAAAAAAAATAAATTAAAAAACCACCCCATCAGCCTAACCACCTATCACGACAGCCCACTCCCACCAGCCCGACTGCCTACCGGCCCCTCAGCACCAAAGCATCGCGCCTTGCTGCTCTGACCGCCATATCCCTCCCCTTGAATGTGCCGACCGCCGTACCCTCACTCCTCAATCCTCATATGCATAACCCTAACTACCCTAGATTTCGAATTCAGGTCTTCTTTTTCTCCTAGCGTTTCTCATGATTATGCTTGCTGAACTTTCTCTACTCATCCTCATCAATTATGCGGAGTTATCAATTCATCCTTATCTGTGTCGATAATATTGAGTACACCATTTCTTTTTCGGATTCTTGGAAGGTCCGCTTCTCCATGTTATCATGTGTATAATAGTCCTCTTCCAGCGAGAAATTCTGGGTAGGGTGGTGATGGGGGGGGGGGGAATAGGAAGGGGAGGATGAAGGAGAATTTTACAGCAGTTGCGATGGTGTATTTTTTCCCTTCCCACGCCTTGATTCGGCCCCCTTCCCCTTCCTATATGCCTTGATTTCGGTAAGGGTTGTGGTGGTTAAGAGGTGACTGAAGAGGGTAGGGGAGGGCGACGACAGGCACGGGGGAGCTACGGTATGGGCGCGACGGTGCTGGTGGCCAGCCTAGGCCGATGGTGGTGCGGGGAGGAGGCTGAGGCTGGGGTTGGTGGTGGTTTTGAATTTTTTTATTATTAATTAATTGTGTCATTGTCAACAAGAAATGATGGCCTTTTCTTTTTTGAGGCAACATGCAACTCAGCATTTATTTATTTATTTATTTATTTTAAAGCAAAAAAAATGAATTAACCTATTGGTGTAGGTCACCACCACAATTTTTACCTACAACCAAGGTTTGAGTATCCTAATTACAACTTCTGAAACTTCAGTACTCTAATTGCAACTTTTGTCAAACATTAGTACTTTGTATTTTACTTTTATTCCGAACATACGAGTAGACTATTGGCCAAAGATTTTGTTTCTACCCCAAATTGTCAAATATAGTCTAGTATTTCAAGACCAAGACATATCACTAATTCATGTTATTGTACTTATACAAAGTAAGTCTTTTTTATTCTACTCGCTATGTATTAATTATATGTACACAACTATACATTGCCAATGCAGTAAAAAATAATATAAATAAATTTACAATTATATAAAAGCTTTTTCTTACAAAATTGTACTTATAAATTCAACTAAATGACCCCTAAATGTCAACGACTTAAATTCAATATTTAAAGATGGATTAGTAAACAATGTGTCTTATGCAGTAATTTGACACGAAAGAAGCTCTTGCCAAATCATCAATACTTGGTTAATTGTTTGACTTTTGAAATTAAAAAAAAAAAAAAAGGATAAATGCATTAGAAGAATCTAGGCTAGCTAATAATTTAATCAAGCATATGCACTTACGTAGTTTTGGTATGACTTCGAACAGAACAAAAATACAGACAAAAGTGTAAGAAGAAGGGTTTAGTAATACACAGTTTTGTCCTTTTAACAAGTGAAGTGATCGAGTCAAGCAGACATAAAGAAAGTTCCTAGTTTCAAAGTTTTCGTGCATCCATTTAATGTACAGCTACAATTACCAATATTAATTAATACTCTTATACAAAAAATTATTCTTAATATATAGCTTAGATATCAAATTGTAGTACTATGTCGGAGGTTGTTCTAATCTGTTTGCCAAAAAAATCTTGCATTCTTTATATTCATGCTTATCTACAGCACATATACCCATTTTTTAAGGCAGTACCTATTAATTTCTATTAACTTCCATCTGCATATTATTGCAGCGATTATATTTGTTTGGGTCACCCTACTTAATAATTTCTTACTCCACTTGCAATTCGGGTGAATTGACTAACATCTTCTCTTATATGTTATGTTTTGATTTTTAGCACTGTTTATATATGCTAACATTGATCACATTTTATTATAAGTATGTAGAAGTAATTGTCATTAATTTAATTGTTGGGTTAATTTCATATGTTCCCTCTGTTTCAATCTAGTGATTTTCTTGATTGAAATAGTTTATATTATGATAAAAATTGTAGCTAATATTTGCTTGACAAATTTATAAAAAACACAAATTTTCATATGATATAATGAATAATTCTATTTTATCTGTCTTGATCTTGATGTGTAGTCGTGTAGATGTGCAGTTTTACAACATCATCGCTTTTTATCTTCTTTTTTTTTACAATATGTATTTGAAGATATTTATGCTTATATGTTGTATTGGAGATTATGAAATTTGTGAAACTACAAATAAATTATTAATGACAAAAATGACTGTGCATTAACAAGCATTATTTTCAAAATGTTATAAGTACTACTAAGAAACAAAGCTCTTACAAATTAAGACTGAGCTTATTTTTTTACTCTGTAAAACACAAAGTTCATGAATATTATTGAGCCAAAATGACAACTTTGTCAATTTATCTAGATACTCATGCCATACTAATATACTATAGTTTTGTAAAAGCCACATAATAATGTGAATATTTTAAACTTAGACAGTCTATCATCTGCTTACTAATTTACTGCTATAAAATTTGGTCCAAAAATAATGTAAGGCCCAATACGATTGTCCAAGTCTACTATTAAGTGGGCTAAAATGTTGATATTAGGAGAATACTTTTATCAACTGGGCCAACCTACCAAAAGTCCAATCCCATTGCATCGAACCTTCTCTTTGCTACTCTTATGTCTTATGTGAGTTATTTGTGAGTTTGATTTTGTGACCTTATTCAAATTTGAGATATCCAAAACTTGATAGCTCATTTTCTACCAAATTCAAAGTTAACCCAACTTGAACCAAATTGGTTGTGATTCATTCATCGTAAATTCGTAATTGCATAAAAAGTTATTTTCAATCAATAATGGAAAGGTTCTTCCAACAACAACAACAACAACAACAACAAAAAAAAAAAAAAGAAAAAAAAAACTACTCATACTATTGAAAAGGTTTTCATTTTACAATCATAAAGTTTTGAGATCAAAATCTAGTAGAAACATCCACTTTAGGGGGCAGATTTGTGAATATACAGAAGCTGACAATCCTTAATTGATTGTCAAAAAAAAAAAAAAAAAAAAAAAAAAAAAAAACCTTTATTAAACCTGATGCAAATGACTTGTCATCCTATAACCCATCCTAGTCGAAATTAAATTCAATCCAATTCAAATAAATGGTAAGGTCCTTGTCTTTGTAAGGGTTTCCCACTTCATCTGAGGTGGCCCTCTCACCTTCACTATTGAAGATTTTTTTGGCATCGCAAATTAATGGGGGTAATCTCTTGGGTCCTGGTTTAAGTGTATGACCCACTATAATACTTTGAACTTTATAGATTCCAAATTTGTGACTCAAGAGAGTAGTAAAATAAAGTGAAAACATACAAAATATGGCCCCTAAAATGAGAAGGACTCCATTGTTCATTCAATTATTAGCCATACAATTCCAATAAAAATTTAGGTCCCTATATAATTCCACAAAAGCTTTAATGTTTTTGGTTAAACATTGTATCAAATAATTATGTTATATCATTGTTCTTGCGATTCTCTCTACACTAAGAAAAAAATTAACTTGCAAACAGAGTGTGTCACGTGTACCGTACACCCGCTGTCTTCATCACTTGTAGATCCGATCATGCCAAGTATATTGCTTATATGTACGGCCAATCAAAGAACTATACATGTTTTATCAGTGACTAATGCCATACCGCAATTTGCGGAATATATGAAGACCTTAAAGCCAGAATTTGAACTATTGAAGACAAAAGTTGTTTGATTGACCTTCGTCTAATTGTCTTGCATGTCACAAAGAGTACAAATCCCAGTTGAAAAACAAGCAATCATGTTTGAATACTCCAATCGAGTTCAATTATTTTATGGGGATAAACCCAATTTCCAACAGTTGATAGTTTATTTCTTTATAGCTCAACTTGGTACAAAAATCAAAGAAACTGACCATTATACCTCAAGCCCATAACAGCATAACTTGATTATATTCGCCACATCGAAAACAAACAAAGATGCTAACATGATTGAAGAATCCCACTAAAATATGTCACTTAGATTTGAGATCACCGGATCGAATCAGTTAAATATCTTGTAATAGTCATAATTGGGATTATATTTATTATTTTACAAATAATAATTTACTTAGAGTATGACACGACTGAATACTTGTATAGGGTAAGACACACCATTAATAAGGAGTGTTTATTTATAGGATAAGACAAAGTACTTATAAAGATACGTCATTTTTATGGTATTATGTCATAAGACCATCTCATGTTAGAATTTACTAAAGAAAACACGGAAAAAGCTCGTGATTTAGCTTATATTGTATTTAGGATTTGGACAGTTGGACATCCATACTTTCCAACAAACCAAAGTCACTGGATTGCACCCTTTTCTAGTAGTGGGAATTGTAGGTCTTTCTCCACCCATTTTATTTTCCTCTTTTGTGGGGTAAAGGGGTTAAGGATAGGGCCAGATTGAACATGGAATATATGAGGTCGGTCATCATGAATAATTAAGATCTATTGATGTGAATGAATCCCTAAAATTTTGAAAAAATAAGTGCAAAATTTCCACAATAATGACTCAAAAGCTGAAAATTTTCTTGCAATTCAATTTTTGTAGAAATTTCACAAACATTACAAACCAATTCATCAAGTATTCAACTTTGATCAACAAGTGTACTCCCTCCGTCTATTTTTTTCTCAAACGATTACAAATCAAAAGAACAAATAGAGACGGAGGGAGTACAGAACAACACAAGTACTTATCACACAATTACAACATGATTAAAGTACCAAATCACACCATCTTAGAGAACTCAAAACAACAGAATGTAGAAGCTCAGTCACTAACCTTTGTACTTCACAGCTCACACATTATTAATTACTTCCAAAATCAAATGAAAAACAAAATTAATCCAAAAATTAAGGATTTTAGACTTGTAGTTTGGCAAATTTATACCTAGAAACAAAGCGATTAACCAAAGCAAGAGCATTACTAGTAAGTTGAGCAACACTATTAACCCTCTTTTGAACAACACCCTTAACTTTCCCACCTTTAGTATGTCCATCTGATAAACCATCAACACAAGTACTTTCATCAGTTAACGCAGTACTAACCCAAGTTTGAACATTATTCATATGCCACATGAAATCTTCACCATTAGTATACCCTAAATTCGCAAGCTCCTCGAACGAACGTGTTAGTTGATCAACCCCATCACTCATAGTATCGATACAATCTTTAACTGCCTCGAACTCTCTATGTTTGATCCCTTTGGCATTTTTTATTCGTGAGACAAATCGAGCAGTTGATCTGGCCTTAGATAAGCTCACCGCCAACGCAGTTAAGGCTAGTTGGCGGTGGCTTCGGCCTATCTTGCTACCAAAGCCTGATAGGCTCTGGTAGCAAAGAGGAGGGTATCGCGTGGCACCACATGAGGATTGTATGAAACTTGAGGGCTGTTTATTGTGCTTAGTTGGAGACCTTGGAGGGTGGTGTGCTATGGTTGTGGAGAGTATAGCAAGGAGAAAGGAAAGGATGAGGAAGAGAGTAAATATCGGTTTTTCCATGGTTTATTGGTTTGAGTATCTTTGATTGTGTGATATGAACGTTTAAGGGGTTTAGGGATATATAATATGGGAAGATTATCTGGTAAAAAAAGTTTGGTTTGTCTGTCTATTTTGGCTTCTTTTGCGGACTGTTATTTGTTTAATGTTTCCTTGACAGTAGTGTTAATCAGTTTAGGAGTATTTTGGATCAATTTCACAAATTACTACTTACGCTGTCCAAAAGAAAACAACTCTACTAGGTACGTGCTTTGTTTCCTAGTACTTTTTTTCGTCCCACTAAATTTATTCACAGGATAAATAAAATCAAAATTGTAACCGTATATAAAAATATTAAGATCACGAAAAAATATAAGCCGATTATAACAGAGGAGAAATAGTCAAATAGTTAAGTAGAGCCCACTAATTCAACATTTGTACGGAGTAGTAATCATAATGTGCAAGGGTGTAATAGATGAATTTTCTGGAAGTAAAAATGTGTAGTTACAAGTTTATAGCGTAATGTAGCATGTCACGTTCATGTAATATGATGCGTCATTCATTACAATATGATACATGAACAAGAACAACTTCAAGTTTTCGACTGTGGGTCCAAATAATAAAGTTTCAAAATTAAAAAAATTGTATTTTAGCTTTTCTTTATTGAAAGGAGTTAAATTGAAATAATTGCTTGGATAGTGTTTGGCTTGTCGGCTCGGTTTCCAACTAACCCATAAATAGCCTTTCTGTATTAGTGTCGTTTTTGTGTTACTTGTGTATATAGTCATTTTAGATAATTAACTAGCAGTCTAGCACGAATGAAGTTGTGAACCAAGTAAGCCTATGTTTTGATCAATAGAAAAATGGAAGGATGAAAAATATTAATTGGTCGCAAAATCAAAAGTTAGGTAAAAACATTGTAGTTCAATCAAACAAAATTTTTGATGAAAGGCAGTTTTTTTTTTTGAAGGATGATGAAAGGTAGTTAAAACAAGTAATCCTTATTTAATTTTTATTTTTTGAACGGACAAGTAATCCTAAATTCATTAAGTATGAAGTGAATTTTATCTCATATTATTTGAGCTCTTAAATTCTTAATGTAATATACAATACAAAATTTCGGATACACATGGATTTAATTGAAATAATATATTTCTTTGACCTCTAAAAATCAAGAAAAAAAATGAATAAAAAACCTACTTTGACCCATGGCCATCATGCGCAATTTAAACAAATCTCCCAAAAGACCTGTAAAGAGAACTGTTAAGATAATAATTAGGTATATTGTATAATATTTTTAGATTTCCTAGTTATGTTAATATTCTATCTTATTTCTAATCTTGTTAGGGTTAAGAGTATCTCATGTAACTATATATATTCTTCACTTGTGATTGAGAAAGTCAAGCCGTTCAATCTAATTTGACATGGTATCAAGAGTCTAGGTTGAAAAAAAAAAAAAAAAATTTACATGAGGAAACACAGAGGGCCGTGAGAGATAGCGAAGGATGACGATCAATCTCCATCTCCACCACCGGTTGACTTAGACTATTATCTTGGGTCAAGTGATCATCCGGGAGTGGCTATAACCCTTGTGAAATTGAAGGGACCAAACTATGATGAGTGGGCTAAAGCGGTTCGTCGTTCGACGATCACAAAGTTCAAGTTTGGCTTCATTGATGGCTCCATATTAGAGCCGACTGATATAGTGAAGAAGAAGAATTGGGTTGCTGTAAACTTCATGCTTGCATCGTGGATTACAAACACACTTGAGGATAGCATATGTTCACAGGTTGAAGACTTTGATATTGCTAGTGAATTGTGGAAGCATCTTAAGCAAAGATATTGTGTGGTGAGGGGGACTCATATTTGCCAGTTGAAACAATCGTTAGGAAAATGTTGACAGGATTCTTCCGAGTTTGTGACTGATTATTTCGATCGTTTGTCAAAAATTTGCAAATTAAAGAATTGGTGCAATATTGCCGTGTTCCGCAATGCTCCTGTGGTTTATATAAGTGTAACATTGCAAGGCAGGTTATGGAGATTCGTGAGGAGAATTACCTCCAATATTTTTTGATGGGACTTGATGATCCCGATGAAGCAAGTCGTGCTCAATTATTAGCACAATCACCATTGTCCCTAGTTGACAATGCATATCAAATGATGATTAACACCGAGAGATTGCGGGTTCGAGATGGGAAACCAAAAGAAAAGGTCATGGCGTTTAAGGTGGAGTCCCGTGCTAAAGAAGAATTGAAGGATGGTGGCCGACCTTTTTGCACTCATTGTAATCGTATGGGGCATTGGAAGAAGGGGTGTAATAAGATCATCGGTTTCCCGAAAGGATGGGATGAGAATCGGAAAGGAGGAAGGGGCCGTGGTAGAGGCGGCTCTAGTACTCGTGGAGGTAAAGAAGGCTATGGTCGTGGAAATATTAATTGTCTATTGGTAAAAGTTATTGAAAAATAATTAAATTATGGAAAAAGACGTTGTAACTAGTGTAACGATGTATTACAAAAGTAAAAAAAAAAAATGTATGTGAATAGTGCATACTTCAAAGTGATTTAAATATAAAAAAGGGAAAAATAGTATTTAGGTTGATAAGGCATAAGGGTTACTCAAGTTCAAATTACAACTGAAATTAGTTTTGATAAGACCTAATGAATTTATTTAGTGAAAATCAGTTGAATAATATATACCCTATTAAGATGATATAATAAAGTACTCGTATAAAGTTTAAGATAAGTGAAATCTAGATTAAGAGAACACTGTCTTAGTGGAATCCATATCAAAATCTGACATTCTTCGCGAGAACTTGTGAACCTTTTCACCAGTCACATTGGACAAGGAAGATTCTAAAATGAAAGCCAACATTAAACCATTATATTGATCCGGTGATTCTAAGAAGATAACTTGTAAGGAGATAAATGAATTTGTTTAATTCTATTCAAGAAGATACTTTGGGACGGTTTGAGTTCACACATTTACAATCTCAATCTAAATCTAAATCCATCTAATTTTAATCCAACTCTAAAAAACTATATAATCTTAACCTAATATCCTACATGCATATATGTAAACAATTTTTCTCTTACTTAAGCTATGTTTTAATATATATAATAATATTACATTAATGTTTTACACAAATAGATGAAAAGCCGTTGCTCAATACCTCAATAGTAAATAACACAGAATCCTTGTTCTTGCAATCTCTGAAAACTATTGATGAGTGTTATATTGTGCAAAAAACTCCCTTCTACATGCCTTATCTTGGATAGTTGCACACATGATCATTGATCAGTACCTCAGGATGCTCCCGAAATTCATGTCATCATTATAATTTAATTTTGCTTTACCCCAAAATTTGAATTTACATAGGCTCAACTTGAAATACAAATATATATGGCCTATATTAGATTATCCAAGAAAATGCTCTTGCAATTCACTGAAATTCTATACTGTTACATATTTTATAACAGATGCGCGGAGCTTCTCCATGTATTCCGCAGCTTGCTTCTGTAAAGAAAATCAGTTTCAGCTTGTGTTAGCTTGCAAAATCTTATTCAAGCAGGGATTGATAAAATAAACATTCCTATGGACCAGACTATAGTCCAATCTTGAGCCAACTTTGAGATAATTTGGGTATATTGACACTTGGGCCTTAGACTTTTGTGCTCCCAATAATAAGATCAACTACCTTTTCTACATTAGCAATCAAACTAGTCTTTAGGTTCATGAAGTCAATGACTTGGTGGATAGGTCCAAGTCGGTCCGTGCTGAGCCTATACTGGCCCTTTGGCCACTTCTAGGTGAAGTGCATGGAAACAATAGTTGAAGGCCCTGCACTACCATTTAACATTATCAATAATCAATCAGCAGGATGCCTCAACATAGAACAAAGTTCAGAATCCTATCAAATTAGTTGTTCTGGTTCTGAAGTTTTGTTCTGCTACCAAAATTCAGTTTTTCTGATCCTGAACTTTTCTCCACCAAAGTAACTTCCCTACATAAATCACATGTTACTAGAGAATCCCAGCTAACATGTCTTCCAAATAGTGTTATAAAGTAAGGATCACCACCCAGAAAATGGCTTGGAAAATCGTTCATGTTTTATACATCTACTCATCATCTTATAAGCTAGACTAATGTAGCTTGTCCTGTTATCCACCGCTAATGGAATTTTGAATGAATGTCCAGGCTTGCATTCTACAAAGTAATTTTCAATGATTGAACAACTCATACCTGATCACTTCGATGTGCACTTGCTATGTTCTCATCGAGTAGAGTCACCAAGGACATATTTAGCTCATTAAGCTCAACCATCTCCAATAACTGCACAACAAGGACAATAATGACATATGATAAAGTATTCTTCACTAAGGGCCGATGTTTCATTCAGTATAGTACATACAGTAGAGTTTACGTCCTTGGAAGTGAAGATCTTTGTAAGACTTTGCTTTGCTTTAACAAGCTCACTCTGCATTTTATCATATGCTTCTGCATAACAGCAAAGGACCTAAACACATGAGTTAAACGTGCAAAGGACTATCGAAAATTCATCTAAGGTTAACATTAACAGACCTGTTGCTTCTGAAAGAGCCTTTTGCAACGCCTCCAATTCAATCAATCTGTCCTCCATTTCCTGCAGAAATAATATAAGTATAGATTAGTCCATCATACTTAATTTTGATGTCAACTACAGTATCAGGTATACTATATAAATTTTATTAAAAAATGCACCTCAGTTTTAGCCATAGCAAAACGAAGCTGGCCTATTTCAGATTGTAATTGTCTGAAAAATTCATCATTCAACCTGCAAATTTAGCAACAAGTATTATCGTTGTTATGTCTTAACTATGAAACATCTTCCATAAAGCAAGCAGTTTACAAAAATAAAAACATTCACACCCTAATATAGTACATGTGACAGCTTTCCGAACATCCTAAAATATTATTCACTACGAAAACAGCCTATTTTCCTAAAATTCACAAGTAACTTTCCTTGAGATAGAAAGAAGTCCAACATAAACATCATAATATATATCAACATATAACATCATTCACAAAAAGACAATTTTCAGCCATTAACAAAATATACGGAACTCACCTTGGCCTTAATCTAGCAATCTCATATTCAATCTCTTGAGCCTCAGTATCAAGAAAATACTCAATCAACTCCGTATCCGTATCCGGAATAACCCGAGACTGAAATCCATAATTCAACCCAATCCAACAATCATAAAACAAATAAAAATCAAACAAGATACTACCCCGTTAACAATTATTTGCAACAATTAAACATTTTTCTTCTCTACTACGGAGTTAGTAGAAAAAAACTTGAAATAAGTACAAGTAATTAGTAAGTAAACCTGACGAAGAGCTTCTCGACGTTCTTTTTCTTCTCTTAAATGACGTTCATAATCATCTTTAGCATCAGCATCTTTTTCAAATCGACGTTTGAATTCCAACCTGTCTATATGCCCTGTTTGGGCCGGTGTTTTGAATACCCCTTCTGGATCCTTCCTTTCCAAAAAAAAACATGCGTTGAATGGTGTAATTAATGCTCGATTATACTTACTAATACTATTCATTTTGAAGGTTTAACCAACTACTTTTACGACCTTAAGGCTGTATATATCATTTTCCGAAATCCGAAACAAATTAAAAGCGGAGAGAAAGGAAGAAGAGTTTACCCAAACACAACAAATTTTGGGCCTTGAAGGTACTTTGATTAAGTTAGGGAATGAGCGTAAGTGAGCAACTCCGAAGCTCAGAGCAGCCATTGATGATGATTTTAAAGATTGGTTTCTTTTTTTGAAACCTAAAGATTGGTTTCTTTGTTATCCAACTGACAGACTTTTTCTTATCCTTTCTAACTTTAGCTATAAATAAAATAAACTCCACTGATATTTATTGGACGGGCCCTGGCCCAGATAGGATTTGAGTGGGCCTAAAATATGGCCGACTTTGTGGGCTAAGATCAGGCTTTGTTGATATGGGTCCATAGTCCATTGAAGGGAAGAGGGTGGTTAATTCCTGATGGCCCTAATAAGTTAACGTTGACAAATCATCTTTAATAAAAAGAAAATTTGTCAGGAAAAACCTTTTAAATACCTCATTTTATAAGAAAAAACCTTTTAAAAGGATTTTTGTTTAAAAAACCTCCACGATCACTTTTTTTGTTAGATGAAACCTCCCTTCCCTTTTTCGGAATTGATTGAGGGTTTCAAGCGTTGACCCCTTATTTTCTCTACTTACACCCAAGTAAGTTTATATTTGTACTCCATCCATCTATCTTCCCTCTTATTTTCCTCTAAAGTAAATGTCCTATCTTTTCCCTCTCTCCTTTGCTTCTATGAAGGCTTTGCACTTCAATCACATTTGGGCTCTCTTTCTCTTTAAAGTAAGAGTAAATTCATCAAATTATTGCTGTAAATAGTATCAACATTGGGGTTTTTAAAATGCATTTCACTAACTCACCTTTCTACTTTTGTCAATGGCTAAAGGAAGAAGAAGAGGTTCGATTTCGTGGTTGTAGAATTGTAGGCCACAAAATAGCCAAAAAAAGGAGGGAAAATTACCCTAAACTTGGCTGTAAGTAGAGAAAATAAGGGGTCACTGCTTGAAACTGTCGGTCAATGCCGGAAAAAGGAGGGGAGGTTTCACCTAACAAAATAAGTGATTGTAAAGGGTTTTTTTTTAACAAAAATCCTTTTAAAAGGTTTTTTCTTGCAAAATGAGGCATTTAAAAGGTTTTTTCTGACAAATTTTCCTTAATTAAAATGCATAGAGTAAAAGTTTCATTAGTTGTACACTTGACTAACTGGAGGGCAGTAGTGCAGTACAATGAAAAAAGAGAGGAGGAACATTAGAAAATTTACAAAAAGAGTGAAATACAGATTAAGAGCATGTTTGGTTAGTGTATTTTTTGGGTTGTAAACGGATTTGGTTAAACCATTACCGTTATCGAGTGTTTAGTTAAGAAATTTGGTAACAATTACCTTTACTTAAGGGTAAAAGATTCCACCCATTTGTTAGTTTGTTACCACTCTAAATCCTGAGGTAATAAATACTCTTACCTTCCTCAAATATAAAAGAATTCCATTCCATAGCTAAAACCAAACAAATGAAAAGGTAATAGTTCATGATTCCTAACTCCCCTCTTATTTGTTTTCTTTTCACTTTGTTTCCATTGTTCTAATCAAACGGCCCTTGAGAGTTTCCAAAAAGTAGCCCTATTTACGTTTTCAAGAGAGCAACCTTAGAATTCACATTTGTAATTTTATCGCATTGTATATTTACATACTTCGAATAATTTCATTTTAATTTCAAATCATTTTTTTTTTTTTTTTGACAAAAGCAAATGATATTGATAAATCAGAGTTTACAATATACGAAATAAAACTTAAACCTTACTATATGGCTTTTAACATTTAAGTCATTCTAACTTTCAACACTAAAAACCAAGAAACATAACTGGAGTTGGCCGGAAAAGTTGCAATTCAAGACCTCTTTATAGGCCAAAGAGCGGATACCTACTTCAAAACCCAAAGAGAGCAGAGAGTATCGAAACTGTTTGATCATGGCTAGTTTAACTAAACCTAGTGGGATCAACTTATCACCACGTAAGGTCTTCAAACCGATCACATGGACATGTGACCTATCATTGCTAAGTTGTTCTTGTTTGCAAGAAAGCTTTAACAACGTCGAGGCTCGTGAAACCCCAAAACAAAGTTTGGGCGCCTGCTTCGGATAGAAAACATCAAGAGTAATGATCACAATGATCACTCCAATGAAAAGAGCAGATGACAACCATAATCATTCCACCATAAAACACACCACACTCTAGCCATGACCAACTTCTCATTCGTCCCCCATACAACGGTAACCCAAGTTACCTCTCTCAACACAACAACACCAAATCCCTTGACAAGGTATCCAAACTCCCTTCTCACACAACCATCCAATAAACTATAGCCAAAACAACCAGAAAACCAGGGCAACAACCAAGAAAGACTCAAATAAACCATACATGACTTTAAAAAATAAAGAAAACTCTGAATAGCAATAAAAACATACATACTTAAATTCAACGACCAAATCAGAGAGCCTCTTTCGGACCTTAAATCCGAAACCATAAAAGCAAAGAACCTCAAAACCCTAACCCTAACTTCACCCATCACGAAACACTCTTGACGGCGGCGTTAGGCCTAGCCTCCAGCGCAAGGACCCACGAAACCCTAACCCTAACTTTACCGTTTCCGTCACGGTCAAAATTACCAATGACCTTTATGACGGCGGCGTTAGGCTTAGTCCTTAGACCGCTTGTTTCGCCGGCGAAATTCTTTGAAAGTGAACCTTCCACTCTAAGGTGGGTAAACAGGGGCTACTCTAAATCTTCTAGCCAGATAAAGGGTCACAACCCCTTCAAGACCGAAAATAAGAGGATAAAAGAGAAGGGAAAAGGGCGACGAATCGGAGTTTGGAGCCGCCCCACAGCCGAACGAAACGGGGAAACGAGAAGGAAGAAGAGGAGGTGGAGAAGAGGAGGAGGACGGAGCCTCACCGCGGTGGCGCCGGAACTCTGATCCGGAGACAAAGAAGAAGAAGAGGGGGAACGAGAAGGGAGAAGATGAGGACGGAGCCTCGCCGGAAAAAGCAAATAAAAAAAGAGAGAGAAGGGAGGAAACTCGCCGGAGAAACGGCTGCGGCGCCGGATCTCTGGCGAGCACCTAGGTTTCCGGCGTCAAGCTTGTTTAGAGGAGGAGAGAGAACAGAGAGTTTTTGGGAGGATTGTTTTCAGACAGCTTCTTCTCACTCTCTACAAACTTTTTTTGGACAGTAAGTAAGAGAATTATTAAGCTATAATTTCAAATCATTTTGGTATTAAGTCCCTACATTTCAAAAATTATATTGGTCACATTATTGACCCCTTGCCCATCTTTCTTCAAGTTAATGTAGTTTTACATGATCGACATATCAATCTCTTTAAAGACACCATTTTACTTTTATGTACGTAGTACATTTTTTTTATTTTATTTTTTTGAAAGAAACGTAGTATATGTCCATTATGATTCATTAAAAACTTTTTTGAGTACGAGTAGCTATATTTAGTGCCTAGTGGAAGATTATGATATGTACGTACAAAGTACAAAACAAATAATCCAAACATCTTCATTATTGAAACTGATTGCAAAGCTCTGGTGGGTAAGCTCTCAAAAGAAGCCCTTTTCTTCTCTGATCTAGATAGTGTGCGGATGCTATGTTTTTATGTTGTGATTTTAATTCTGTTGCGTGGTCTCATGTTAAAAGAGATGAGAATGTTATTTCCCATTATCTTGCTAGAATAGTACCATTTGGTGTTGAGCAAATTTGGTTAGCCATTGCCCTCCAGAAATTGCTCCTTATGTACTCTCAGACACTTTATCCCTTAATTAATAAATTTGCTCAGTACTTTTCATAAAAAAAAAAAATCCAATCATCTTCGATCGTGACCCAAAAGAAGAAGGTGATCGACATATCAATCTCTTTAAAGGCATCATTTTACTTTTATGTACGTAGTACTTTTTTTTTTTTTTTGAAAAAAACGTAGTACATTATATGTTCATTATGATTTATTTTTTCTATATATACTAGTTGTATGTCAATTATTTTAATAGGATGTTTTATAATAAAAGTTGAAATTATTGAGTTTTTGCTTAAGAGAACTTTGTTAAGATTCAAACTAGTTGTTAACTAGGGTTTTTGGATCGTTGCTCCTAAAATCAAACTTAGAATTGAAGTTGTTGCCTTCTAAGCCTATTCTTCGAATTTCCACCATTAAAATCACTCAAATCCTCCTATTAAATATAAACCGTCAAAAATACGCATCATAAATGTATGTCATTCAAACTGTTGCATTATTTAGCCCAGTAAATATACTAGTTGATCAATAAGTAAGTTCATTGTCCCCTATCCAACAACTAATGTACAAACAATATAATAAACACATTGTATTATTCGTGAACATTGATTGATAAAAAATTTAACTGATAAATTTATGTTTTTTCCTATGCAGGGGTGAGTAAATCCAAGAGTAGAGGTGAATCAAGTTAACTAGGGAAGACGTCAGAATTGGCGAAAAATGGTGCCGCCAAGATTGAATTGGATCAATTATTTATGGTGCACTTTTTGATAGAGTATAAAACGTATTCTTGGGTCTTAACCATCAGCTTAAGCTTTTGGTTGAGATGGTCCTCTAACATGGTATAGGAGCCAATGTGACACAAAGGTCACGGGTTCGAATCTCATCCACCCCTTACTTTCAAGTGGAATATTAAGCGCGTATAAGACGTATTCCTGAACCTGCTTAAGTTTTTGGTTGAGATGGTCATCTAACACTTTTTGCTTGGTAATTTCTTTATAATTCAAGGATCATATATTCATATGCCATCGCAATTTGGATCAGTTGTTCACGAACCTTAAGATTATATAAAAAATTTCATGGGAAGATTAAGATTTAAGAGGGCATTTTGGTTGAGATGGTCATCTAACACTTTTTGCTTGGTAATTTCTTTATAATTCAAGGATCATATATTCATATGCCATCGCAATTTGGATCAGTTGTTCACGAACCTTAAGATTATATAAAAATTTTCATGGGAAGATTAAGATTTAAGCGCGTATAAGACGTATTCCTGAACCTGCTTAAGTTTTTGGTTGAGATGGTCATCTAACACTTTTTGCTTGGTAATTTCTTTATAATTCAAGGATCATATATTCATATGCCATCGCAATTTGGATCAGTTGTTCACGAACCTTAAGATTATATAAAAAATTTCATGGGAAGATTAAGATTTAAGAGGGCATTTTTATTTTAATAAT